AGAAGTTTTAGTGAGATTTCCCAGCGAACAGGTCATCAATTTTGCCTGACAAATTCGGGGGGGGAGGGGGGGGGGGAGTTCTTTGAAGATACCAAGATACCCAAGCATGCCGCTGGAACCCTGAAGTCCATGCACTGCTAAGTCAAAGATTCAGGTGTCAGGTGCATGGCTTTCAGTTGCATTTGAGGATGAGGGTCTGAAGATGCGGCCTGAAAATCTTGATGCGACATTCCTCGGGCAAAGCTGCACATGTCAGGGCCTGGAGCTTTAAACCTGCCAAAAATCTAAAGAACGGTGCTTTGGTGGAAACGTGCATGGGTCATGGGCTTATATGGGGGATGCAGCCAACCCTAGACCCTAAATATCGTATCGAACCCTAAGCTCTAAGCCCTATATTAGTTTCTATTTTGTTTACCATGGGATATTCTGGACATGGTTTAGGGTTTAGGGTTTAGGGTATCAAATTCTGTTAACCGTGGGATAGTCTTCAGAGCAAGTGCTCACTGCCTTCCAGTGCCATGGTGCGCGTGTGGTCTAATCAATCGCCGGCGGCGTATGAAGAAGCGCAGAAGACGGGAGCCTTTAGAGCGTCTCCGGAGCATTTGGAGAACGATTTCTGTAATCCAGATGCCTACAATTTCATGGCGCGAGAACTGGAGAAGCGCGTGGGGCCATGCCCACCGGAAGTTGTGGACACCTGGAATCAAAGGGGAGGCTCCGGTACTCCATCGCCAGTTTGGGTCTGGCTTCAGTACAAGAGCCGTGAGAAACCTGCGTATGAGCCATATGCAAGCTTGTGTGGAAGACGGAGTATTTGCGTCGTGGCAGAGATCAGTCGCGCAGATGTCCTTGGCAGTCAGTTTGGAGCTTTCCACCATGTCTTGAACGATTGGATGCTACCTGTCACGGAGGAAGAAGATGACGAGTTCAAGAAGCTGAAAGAGACACAGCCTGAATGCTGGCAAGAGCTGAAAGTGCAATCCTGGCAGCACATCTTTGACTTAGACTGGCACGGAGAGGAGTACAGCCTCCAAAGGGCAGAAAATGCCCAGATCCAAGGCGTGCTGTGGCAGCTCCCCGTGACTGCTGTACAACGTGCACGTCGAATCATCGAGATCGGACGGTCGCAGGGAACCGAGGGGGCCGAGGTAGACTACTCAGGTGTCACTGTGGGGGAAGACGTGCAGCTCCGGGCAGAGTGGATCTCGGTTCGTAGTTGCGACCCACCCCTTCACTTGCGTGTCACCGTCACTTCCGTGACGAGCAGCGGTCTTGCTGAAGCCCTGGGTGTGCGTGAAGGATGGACCGTTGCGTGCATACTCACCGCAGTAGACGATGAGGACCCCTTGCCATTGCTCATGAAGCAGAACGGCGTCCACGTGTCTCGTAAGATCTATCCCAAGAAGCAGCCGCCACCAGCAGCCGAGCTACTGAAGCACTTGCAGGGGCTGCGAGGAGTGCAGGTCTTTTTTGAGGCAGACTCTTCGGATTCGGATTCGGATCGCGAGATGTACGATGAGTCCCAGCAGATACCGGAGATACCCCAATCCGAGAGCTCCGGCGACTTAAATGAGTTGACCGAGGAAGCGCTGACCTCTTTCGGACCCAGTGACCCGGTGACCCGGTAGCGCACTTCACCGGACAGGAGGCAAAGACAGAAGCAGCACGCTCTGTCAGGCAAAGAAACATGCGTCCCTTTGCTTTTTTGGTTCTGCTAGCGCAGTAACAGTAATAATATTAATAATAATCTTAAGTATCACAAGTGGCAGTCCTGGCCAGGTCATTCGCCGGGGCGGAATCCTTGACCGCTGCTCTCCGCTCTCCCTGCGCGTCGTAGAGAGGCTTGGCATTCTGGGCTGCTGTTAAGGCACTAAAGTGATGTTGCCACCATGAGGCAAAACATGGAAACACCATTATGTACTATGTACCCATAATATGGTAGCTGAACTAATCTGAAGTTACCATAATGAGGAAGCACCATTACTTGCCATATTCCCATAATGTGGTAACGTCGTGTACGTTCCTCAACAGCAATCTAGCATTTGCATTGCCGAGCTCTGGGCTTCGAGCTTCGAATCATAGAGCCATGTTCTCAGAAAGTATGTGTGTCGCTGTGTATGCGTACGTGCATTAAAGAGAGAGGACAGATAGATCAACAGATGATAGATGTATATATAGATGAAGACTCTGTACGCTTGGGCGTGTGCATGCATGCATGCATGCATATTTAGGTGTATGTGCTTGTGTAGAGGGTGGACAAAGAAAAAGCGAACGATCGAAAGGTAGATATGGACATGCATATGTATACGTACGCGTACATGTCCATGCTCCATGCCTACACTTATGCTTGGGTGCGCATGTGTGAATCAGAGAGAGAGGTCGCTCAACAAAAAACAGAGAGAGAGAGAGATATATATATATATATATACATATATAGGAGCTTAGGCTCTTCTCCATAGCCTGAACGAAAGAAAG